GCGGCCTCCGCGTTCCCGTCGTTGTGGGCCTTCGCACGCCTGGTGCTCGGCGTAGTCAATTCGCATGCCGATTAGTCCCGCTTCTCCGCTTTCAGCGACACATCCGTGCCCTGTGACGCGCAGTTCACGCTGGTCGCCGCGTCGCACACTGGCGCAGGCGTGGCACCAGCAGTTGACGTTGACATGTCAACAGAACCCGCAGTGGCCTCCACGGTGACGGCCTCATCCATGAGAAGCTCGACTTCTCGTCGCTCCCCACAGGGGCCATGTCCGCCGCGTACGTCCGTACTCACTGGGCGCCCTCTTGGCCGAACCGCCGGCAGACGTTGCATCTGGGGACTCGACACTCCTTGCGGATGTGTCCCGTCCGTTGGCACCGCTGACAGATTGGAGCCCTGCCTGGCACCCCGACGAGGGCCGACTCGCCACCGACACGCAGCTGGTGTAGGATGTCGTCCACAGTGACGCCCCCCTTGAGTCGGAGGACCGCCATGCGCGTCATAGTGCCGAAGCTTGCGCAGCCATAAACTGGCCACTTCTGGCAACTTGGACAACTTTCCCGTACGGACCCAGAGCTGCCCACACGTTGTCATGAACGACGTTGTAGAGCAGTCACTGCAGTTTCATCTACGCGTCCTTGTTGCTTAGATCGACGACGATGCACCGACGGCATTTTACGACAAGCTCGGACGTGGCCAGCAACTTATTGCCCTTCTCTCTCTTGAAGGTCACCGCCCACACGTGGTTCATCCGATACGCCCCCAGGGCGATAAGCTCGGGGAGTAAGGCCAGACGAACCAGGGCGTCGCGGAACTATTCGCACGGTAAAGCCGCCCCTTGATGTCGGCGTGAAGAAAAACACTATTTAAAACGACTGACCCGGTTGGCAGTGGTGGTAAAAAAAGGGACTACTCGTGCGTTCCTTCCTTGGTTCTGTTACCGCAGTCCAGTGAGGGTGCTGAAACCCCTCCGGCGGAGCTCATGATAAGGACGTCCGACGCGTTCGGCAGCCGGAAGTCGAATGCACAGCGCCACTCTGCTGTGATTTTGCGTCTAAGCAGAGCATACTCTCGAGAGGAATGCAGATACAGACATGAAAAGATAATATCTAAATATTTCTAGTTAATTAAACAAAAAAAAAACCTTAATAATCGCGGTAGATGCAGGTAATGTATTTTTTAATTAAGGGCCTCGAACACCCGCAAAAACATTCGCTGTAGCAGAGCGTGGTTTCGATCCACGGACCTCTGGGTTATGGGCCCATCGCGCTTCCACTGCGCCACTCAGCTTTTTTTCTTTCTTTTTTCTTTATTGCCGCATTGAGACACACAACACTGAGAATACAAACAGCGACAGACATTAGAACACCAGCCCGGCTTGGGCGAGTAGTGCTAGATTAAAACCTTTTCATGCTTAAAAGAGGTTCCACGCGTGGAATCCACCCGGGCACGCTCTTCTGTGCCTTATACACCTCGAGCAAAGATGCAATACTCTTCCGAAAATATTTCTGCGCCTCGCGGGCGTCAACATCTGCATGGCGCATAGCCATCCGAGACCTCCAAATGCCGTGCAGGCCCAGTAACATCATCGTATCAAACGGCACACCGGCCTCAATTTCGATGGGGAGGTACCTGATCTCGTGCACGTCCAGAGGTAAATCTTTCTTCAGGGTCCGTTGAAGAACGTCCCAGAGAAAGACGCCATCCCAACATTCAAGAAAAACGTGTTGGATGGTCTCTGGTTTTTTACACAAAAAACAGTGGTCGCCCCACGGGTCGAACAGTCTTTTAGACGCCATCCATGTCTTTACAGATAACGTGCCTGTGTGCAAGTAGAAAAATAATGTTTTAACCCCGGACGGAACCAGCATTCTCTTACTCAAACTCATTAATCATATTAATCAAAGTAGCAGCGCTACTTTGCAGTCGGTCCGCTCGTGCCCGAAGGCGCGGCACTCGGTGCACCTGGGGACTCGGCAGTCGCGCCGGAAGTGCCCCGAGGTGCGGCACTTAAGACCACAGGTCGGCATTTTAGGTCGCCCTCACTCACCCTCACCCTCACAGCCACACTTACCTAAGCCCCTCACTCACCCTCACCCTCACAGCTACAATCACCTTCAGCCCCTCACTCACCCTCACCCTCACAGTCGCACTCACCTTCAGCCCTTCACTCACCCTCACTGAACCTCACGGCCCTCACGCACTCACCGCCTTCACGGCCTTCACGCCCCTCACGGCCCTCAGGCCCCTCACCGCCCTCACGGCCCTCACGCCCCTCACTCACTCATGGCCCTCACGCCACTCACCGCCCTCACGCCACTCACCGCCCTCACGGCCCTCACCGCCCTCACGGCCCTCACAGCCCTCACCGCCCTCACGGCCCTCACGCACTCATAGCCCTCACGCCACTCACCGCCCTCACGGCCCTCATGGCCCTCACGGCCCTCACGGCCCTCACGCCACTCACCGCCCTCACGCCACTCACGTACTCATGGCCCTCACGCCACTCAGGCCAGCTTCAGATGGGGCAATTTCGCCCAGAAACTTTACGTCGCAACACAAGCAACACGCGCCGTCCGCGATCACACGGAGCAACCAATTGCTGCAATTTGCCAACGTCATCATAAAATTTTATTTTTCTTGCACTATTTAGACACAATTACGCGTTATGAACGTGTTTTTATGCATTTAAATCTCGTTAAGAATACTAATGCACCTTTCTGAAACAGTTTATTTCCAAAAAACGATCGATTTCAAACGAGAACCAAGTCTTTCGGTGTCATCATCACCGGCACGAGGTATCACGAGAAAATTTTGTGTCCCTGATTAGATGCAGCCGCTTCAAACGTATTCGAATTGCTCCGAGTTGCTTGCTTATTTGGAGCCGGACCCGATCTCAGCAATTCGTGTCGATCTAGGGAAAGCTAGAGAACAACCCGCCATTAACACCAAAATTGCTGAGAAAGATGCTCGATCTGAAGGAGGCCTCACGCACTCACCGCCCTCACGGCCCTCACACCACCTCATGCAATCACCGCCCTCACGGCCCTCACGCCTCTCATGCCACTTTCATGCCCTCACGCACTCATGGCCCTCACACCCCTCACGCACTCACCGCCCTCACACCACACACGCACTCATGGCCCTCACGCCACTCACCGCCCTCACGCCCCTCACGCACTCATAGCCCTCATACCCCTTACCGCCCTCACCACCCTCATGGCCCTCACGACCCTCACGACCCTCACCACCTTCACGGCCCTCACGGCCCTCACCGCCCTCACCGCCCTCACAGCCCTCACGGCCCTAACTCACCCTGACACTCATGAATTTTCCTGGTTCAGAAACTCACTCCCCCTCACCTCACCTGTGAAGATGAGGGTGAGTGAGGGTGAGTGAGGGCCCTCATGAGTGAGGTTTGCCGAGGTATGCAGGAGACAGATCGGAGGCCTACCAGGAACCACCACCAGCACCGTGCCTCCGCCCAGACGCAGTTGGTGGGGGATGCGGTCGAGCGTAACGCCATCGCGCAGCATCATGCGGACCAGCCGGGTTGGCTGGTCCGCATGTTGGCTCGGCGTTCTCGAAGTCCGGCAGCCTCCACTTGTCACTCGTCACCTCCTTGACGTCCCCGTACTCCGCGAAGGCTCTTCGGATGGTGTCGCCGGTGACGTCGAACGACACCCAGCGCAGCTTCAGGCGAAGCTCGTGCCTTGCAGGGTCGACGACGAGGCACGTCTTGCCCTTGATGACGAGCTGCCCAGCCTCGAGAAGCTTCTTCGCCTCGTGTGTCCGCAGGTTAAGCAACCAGACATGCGACATCTGATAGGCTCCAATGGTGCCTACCTCCCTGATTACTCCGATGTCCTTCAACGGCTGCCGAAAATCCTCTATCCTGTACGGACGTCCAGCGATGTTGCAGTGCAGTACCACCGCACGCTTCATCGCCTCACCGGACGGCACCTGGGGCAACACAACCCTATAATCCGAGTGATCAGAAAACGACGAGTCACCACGGCCAGAAGCGGCCGTTATCGCAGCTCCACGGGAGCTAGCCATTCTTGCGTCCGCACTCGACGAGCACCGGAGGCAGAATAACCAGCACGCTTCCACTGCGCCACTCCGCTGTGATTACGAGCCTAAGAAAAGGATACTCTCGAGGGGAATGCGGATACAGAGATGGAACGATAATATCAAAATATTTCTAGTTAAGTATTAAAGATATCTTAATCGCGATAGCGGTACTTAATTTATTGTCCAAATAAAGTAACTTCAAAATTAAAAAAAAAAAAAATATTCGCCGTAGCAGAGCGTGGTTTCGATCCACGGACCTCTGGGTTATGGGCCCAGCACGCTTCCACTGCGCCACTCTGTTTTTTTTTTTTGCCGGTTTGGAACTTGAACGTAGTTAAACAATCGCACAAAAATTGGAAGGTTAAAAGCATCCGGCTCGGCCGAGCCGGGGCACATGGTTTAAAAGACTCTCAGGGCGACAAGACTGTCTAACACTGGAATCCAGTCAGGCTGTTCACTCTGTGCTCTGTAGAATTCTCTTAAGTGAACAATATGCTCGATAAAGTAATCCCGCACGGGGCGAGCATCGACGTCAGCATGTCGCACAGCCATCCTCGATTTCCACATGCTGTGCAGGGCCAAGGCCATAAACATGTCGTAGGGAACGCCCCCTTCATTTTCTACGGGAAGAAAACGGATGCCATAGGATGACACTGGGAGAATCTTTTTTAAAGTAGGCTGCATAATGTCCCAGTGGAATACCGCATCCCAACAATCCAAGAAAATATGATCGATAGTCTCGGGTTTCCGGCACAAGAGGCAGTTAATCGACCAAGGAACAAAAATGCCTTTTTCTTCATGCCAGGGCTTAACGGGAAGCGTGCCGGTGTGTAGCTGAAAAAAGAAAGACTTCACGGTTGGCCTTACTGGCATCCGTTTAACTCTTCTGAGGATATCCTGGCCCGGGCCCTCACAGAAAAGAGACCTATACAAAGGCACAGGGAAGACCACCTCGACTAAGTCTTTGTACAGGCGCTTTCGTGTAACTTCGCTTAAGTACTCCAACGAAAATCGAACCTTGAGAAAATGGAAAGCCAAAATCACTTCGCGCAGAAAACCTCGAACCCGCGTACATCTGACATCACTCGAGGACACAACAAACTCAGACAATGCATTACGGAGCCTAACTTGTAATACAGTCCGCAGAAAAGGATCCCCCTGATCCCGCAGGAACATAAATCTTGACACCACTTGTCGCAGAAACAGATGAGCCAGTCCTAGCCCGCCACTTTTCACAGAGCGGAACAAATTTGTACGACCGGTGCGCTCCCACACCGACCCCCACACAAAAATCGCGAACACTCGGTGAATCTTTTGAACGCTTACTCTAGACATACACAAAGCCTGGAGCACGTACCAGACTTTAGCCACAATAAACAAATTACATACTGTGGAGCGGGCAAACTTTGAAAGATTTAGACCCCCCCACTTTGCCGTTTTATCCCGAGCCCTCTCGACTTCTTCCCTCCAGTAGTCAGTAGAATCGCGGTAGTGCTCAAGCGGCACTCCGAGGTACCTGCCCGGCAAACAAGACCAAGTAACTCTTTCAAAAACAGCTGGTGTACTTTCCCAGCTACCATGCCAGTAGCCCACGCATTTATCACAATTGATAACACTGCCCGAAAATTTACAAAAATCAAGTGCTTCTTTGACTACCTCGCAAACACTTTCTTTGTCGTCGCAGAAGACAGCAACGTCGTCTGCGTACGAAAGTACCTTGATTTCACTCGACAACAGCCTAAAACCGCGTATTATTTCATTGAAAAGAAGTTTTAAACAGAAAGGCTCTAAATAGAGAGCAAACAACAATGGCGATAATGGGCATCCTTGCCGTACCGAGGAGAGTACTTGAAAACTTTCCGTAACTTTCTTATTAACAATCACACTCGCAAAACACTCCGCGTAGGACATTTTAACCCATTCCAACAATAAAGACCCAACGTTCCCGTGCTCTAAAATACAAAAAAGGACGTCGTGTGCTACTCTATCGAACGCCTTTTCGAAATCAAGCTGCAACATGGCTACGCGACCTTCGAAAGCATCACAACATTCCAAGATACTTCTTGCTGCGTGTATGTTAGTTGTAATCGTTCGCCCCTTGATGCCACATGTTTGGTGGGGCCCGACGATAGATTTTATTACACCTTGCAGCCTTCGCGCTAAGACCTTCATGACGATTTTATAGTCAACGTTTGTTAGGCTAATGGGACGGTAGGACTTAACAGACAACAGTTTCGCGGGATCATCACTTTTGGGGATTAATACTATATGCGTTTTCTGGAAGGATGGAGGCACTGCTTTTCTATCGTACGCTCTCCGCTATGGTGAGGTGCAGGACCTCCGCCACATCAGCTTTGAAAGCCTTGTAGAAGGCGGCACCTAAGCCGTCGGGACCGGGCGATTTCCCTGGATTCAGTTCGTCGATAGCCTTCTCTATTTCTCTCACGCTAATCGGTGCCTCAAGGTCGGCTTTAATTTCGTCATCTAATTTTGGCATGAGTGGCAAAAGGACGCTGGCAAATCCTTCTTCCACGTGTCTGCGGCGACCCAAAAGATTTTGATAATATTCCACGAAGACGCGTTCGATGGTCTTTTTATCGCGAGTCACCACGGCCTTATGCTCTATTTCTTTTATTTCATTTTGCGTCGCATATCTTTTTTCATTCCCAAGTGAATACTTCGTCGGCGTTTCACCCAACCACAGACGTTCGGCGCGGGCTCTTATCACGGCTCCTCTATATTTTTCGACATCGATAAGCTCCAGTTTACTTTTAACTTCTTTTATTTCTCTCGTAAACTTTCCGGGTTGTGCACATTCAACGCTTAAAAGGAAATCTAACTGACACTGTAGCTCTTTTTCTTTTTGCTTTTCCTGGCGGCGTAAGATACACGATCTTTCAATCGCGCTGATTTTGACTTCATCTTTAAAGCGCTCCCACAGCACAACAGAGTTTCCCGACTCAGCCTCCAGCAATTTCCCAATGCTTTGTTTTACCCCGTTCATAAAAATCTCATCTCTTAGTAGCTTATCATTAAATTTCCACAATTCCCAGTTGAACTGCGATTTTGTTTCCTTCGATCCGATGGAAAAACTTACCAGGCTATGATCACTGAAAGACACGTGTTTCACTTCGTAATTTTTGCACAGTGGAACCAGGGCTGCGGAGATATACGCTCTGTCTAACCTCGCATGACTCTCGCGTTGGAAGTGTGTAAACTGGGGAAAATCTGCCTTCGACAAAAACAAACCCGACGTCCTCTAAATTGCACTCCTGCACTAACGAGTTCAAAAATAAAGCACTCTGGTCCCGAAGCGGCAGCTGTCGCGCCCTGTCTTCTATTGCGCAGACGCAGTTAAAATCACCCAAAAAAATAACAAATCTTTTACAGTTCAGATAAGATTCAACGCGTTCAAAAAACATTCTCCTATCACTCTCCCGGTTTGGCGCATAAACGCAGATAGCTCGCCACTGCAACCCCGAAGAAGAAAGATCACAAACAATCAAGCGGCCTGATTCACAAACAATCACTGTTTCTTCCACAATTCCCAAAGAATTACGCAAAAAAAGAGCACAACCCCCTGATGTACCAACGGAGTGGCACACACATACATTGTATCGCGATCTGAAAGGTTGCACCATGCGGTCCGTTTTCTCTTCGCCTTCCACCTTTGTCTCTTGGACAGCGACTACGTCAAGGTCGTTTTCCAGGAAAAGGCGGCTCAGCTGGTACTGCCGCCGCCTTGCTCCCAGGCCTCGCACGTTCAGCGTAGCGACGCGAAGCGCTGTCTCAAGGCTTACTGCCATCAAAAACTAGATCAAACGGGCCGCATGGTGCACAGCTCAAGTCGCTGAAAAACGACGACAGACTCACAGTCCCGGTGTGCCGCCCGGCGGGTCCGACAAGAGAGTTCGCCGAAAGTTCGGGCCACAAAGCGGCGGCACGAGGACATCGTCCCCTCAAAGTCTTGTCGGTTTCCAGTCCGAGAAGAGGTGCCCAACAAAAAACGGGTTATCGCACCTACGGGGGTGGTGTCGCCGGTGGTCGCCTCTCCGGAGGGATGTTGGGCTTAGGCTTGAGGCTTGCCCGACGCACAGGAGTCGCTTTTCGGGGCGGTTCCTCGGGAAGGACCGCACTTACGATTAGACCTTCGTCGACGTCTTCGCGAGCCCGCTTGGGGACTGCGCCGCTGGAGCCTGCCTCCCCGACACTCATGGCTTCCGACTCCTCGCTGGGCGTCGCCGCCACAGCCGAAACTGCGGTCTCTGTGACACCTTTCGAAGCAGGGGTACCGTCCACAGGCAGCGCCTCAGGATGACGGCGTCGCTCACCGTCGTTCCCGCTGTCGGCTCTGTCCCCGGCGGAAAGCCCGGTGGGCGTCGCCTCTGTAGGAGGCTCGCCACCTTCGCCTCCGGCTGCTTCTTGGGACTCGACCACACCCATGAGTAGCTCGGACGTGTCCTCAATCCCCACGGGCCCCGTGACGCTAGCGTACGTCCTTATGCACTGGCTGTCTTCGTGGCCGAAGCGCCGACAGAGAGCACAACGCGGCACACGACACTCTCGACGAATGTGGCCTTTCCCTCGGCACCGAAGGCACAGCGGCGCCCTGCCCGGTACAACCACGAGCGCCAGGTCCCCAGCGACGCGCAGCTGATGAGGGAGGGAGTCCACGGTGAGTCCGGCCTTGAGCCTGATGGACACCGAGCGCGTCGTGGACAACATGCCGGCGCACCCCTGGGCCCGCCACACGTCTCTGGCGACTTCCGAAACCTTTCCGTAGGGCGCCAAGGCCACTCACACTTCGTCGTCCGGGACGTGGTGCAGCAGCCAGTGGAGCTTCAGCCGCGTGTCCTGGTTGCTTGGGTCGACAACGACGCACCGTCCTTCCTTGACTGTGAAATCCCCGGCGGCGAGCAGTTTTTTCTTGCCCTCGACACTCTTGAAGGTGACGGCCCAAACGTGGTTGTACTGGTACGCCCCCAAGGCGACCACCTCGGGGAGCAGCACCAGGCCAACCAGGGCGTCACGAAAATGTTCCAGACGGTATGGCCTCATGGTCACATCGGCGTGCAAAAAAGCAGTATTCAAAATTGTTGTACCTGTTGGAAGCGTTGGCAGGATAACTTGGTAGTCCTGTTCGGCAGAAGCCATGTTCCTGTTACCGCGGCCAGCGGCCGCTGAACCCGCTCCGACGGAGCTCATGCTCACACGTCCTTTCGCTTCGGCGGCCAGAAGTGGAATCAGCACTGCGCCACTCTGTTTTTTTTATTTTAATATACAGGCATGTAGCACACACACTGGTCCGTGGTTTAAAAAGGCAACACCCAAGTCTTTTCGGCGTCCCCTACAGCCACTTTGCTGCAAGTAGCTGATCAAAAACACTTGCCCATTCGGGCATCTCTGGAAGTGTCTCGATGACGGATTTCAGAGTAGAAATACACTCTAAAAATACAATCTGCGTATGCAGGAGTGTGACGTCTGCGTGCCTTACACTCAATCTAGATCGCCAGAGACTATAAAGACCAAGAACTACAAACGTATCAATGGGCATAGTTTCATTTTTCTTAAGAGGGAGATAACGGATAGTATGTGGGTTCATGTATAATTCTTTTTTTATTGTTCTTTTGAGGACGGTCCCAAAAGAAAATGGCGTCGCAACAGTCAATGAAAATATGATTAATGGTTTCGGGGGCCTTACATAAGTTGCAGTTTATAGTCGAGGGTACATATATTCCTTTATCGTGTAGCCAGGGCTTAACTGGCAGCGTTGCAGTATGTAGTTTGAAAAAGAAAGTTTTTACTCGTGGCGCTATTGTCATTTTTTTTTACCCTCTGTAGACAGTCCTGCCCAGATCCGTCAGCAAATAAAGACCGATAGAGCGGAATGGGGAAAAGCATGTCCCTCAAGTCCCGCACAAGCCTCTTCCTGGAAACGGAACTCAAATACTCGATCGAGAACCTTGCATTCAAAAATAAAAAGGAATCAGCTACCTCCTTAAGAAAGCCAACTAAACGTGGTGACTCCGAAGAATAAGATGACACGACAAACGTTGGCACAAAAAAGGCCAGCTTACACTGAAGAACTGTCCTCAGAAAAGGGTTCTCCTGGTCCCGTAAAAACAAAAAAAGCGAAGCAATTTGTGAAATAAACAAGTGTGTTAACCCTACTCCGCCTAACTTGACACTTCTAAAAAGGTTGTCCCGCCTCATAGGCTCTGACCCTGAGCTCCAAATAAATAAAGAAAAAATGCGGTGAAACGCTTGAATATTCACACGCGCACACTGCAACACTTGCATACGTAACACAGTTTCGACACCGCGCCACTCTGCTGTGATTTTGGGTGTAAGCAGAGGACACTCTTGAGAAGACTGCGGATACATGCATAAAAAGATAT